CAGCCCCTACAGATTTCTTATCTGTCTCTGTATTCTTATTACTCCTCAACCAACATAGATTAGAAATAGATTAACAATAAGAAACAAAACTGCAGGAATAAATTATCAGTCTGAAAGAAGGATAATAGCAGGGTACCTCCTTCCATCAGTTCTAGGACTACCATTGCTCATACATATTTCAAAAGGGGTATTTCTGGGGTATTTCTTTGCAATATTGCTCTGCTTCCAAGGTTTAAAAGCCACTGCTTTTCTTTTTAGGTCAAGGCTCTTAATATCTGGAGGCTAGGACATCCTGAATATGCATTCAGATGAACAGAAGACAGGCAGAGGTCAGGGATTACCCCATGTTCTCAGCCTTCCTGCTTAACCTTGAGCCATGAATCTGGCTCAAAACCCTGAAGCTTCCCTTTCAGAGAAGTTATGTCAGGGGCCTAACCAAGGCACCACAGCAGCAGTTCTCAATGTTTATACACTAGCTTTCTGCCAGGACAAGGCACAGGGATAAGAAGCAGAGTAAGGCACTCGAGGTGGAATAGTAGAGGCCAAGGAGAAGAGAACGACAAGCCTGAAACACATCAGGGCCGGATATTAGGAAAACAGGACAGAACACCGTAAATAGCGCAAGGTGCCAACTCAACACAACACAAACCTTTTGGGAAAACAATGATCATGGTTCAGTCTCTGGCAGGGGGATAGCAGTGGGTGTCCAACGGTAATCTTCAACAGGCTGAGGCAGAACTGAGAGGAGGAGGGACTGCAGTGTATCACTGACTATTGGGGGTAAAAAAAATTGCAGCCAGCAAAGGAAAATTCTTCTCTGGGTTGCATACTCACACACAACTCAGAACACCATAGAAATGTTACCTCTGTATTTCTAAAATTTAACAAATCAAGGCTTATGTGACAGCATGTTAAATGGCAAATTAGGAAAAGCAGAAGAACAGAAATCTCAATATCGATCAAGCTCTTGCTGCAAACCTGCAAAAGGAAACTTGACACAGGCTTCAACAAGGATTTTTCTGAGATACTCCAAACCAACTTTTTGCCAGGTTACTCAAATGAAATATTGTAAAATTATGTATCTCTAGAGACACCAAATGGAGGCACCGAAAATAACACCTTAGTCAAATCAATACCGAAAGAACTTAACAGAAAGAACTGCTCCCTCTTTTGTAGCACTCTGTTCAAATTCATGGGAATGGGGACATACGGTTTGCCATTAAACTTAATAAAACTCTGAGAGCCAATTTTAACCCATTGCCTTTCTCATCCTACTATCTCAACTTCTGAGTTATATTAAACATTACAGAATTTAAGCTGACAGTCTCATTAAGATTTTTAGTTTACCAGCTCCTATAAATAAGGACAAATGTGGTGATTTATACAATGCCATTAGAAATTCAGTGGGACATTTTGGAAGTCTTGCTTTATTCTGCAGTTACTGAGAAGATGCCAAAGAAATAGGTCAAAATCTGACAAGCGAGCAGCCTGTCCTGCCAGCCTCACCTTTCCTGGAGTATTACAGCATGAGAAACATCACATGTCTCATTGTTTTGCCCTCAAACTGTTTCATGGTTTTATTAAGCTAGGCAGAAGTCCAAAGTAATAGTGAGACTTTCTCCTATATCAAGTTTAATTGGTCCAGCAACCCCCCTAAAACACTCCATATTGCACCAACTGGAACACAATTGACCATTTTATTCCACTGTGCCTCTTGACAGACAAACTTGTTTCATGTGACTGAGTTAGGGAAGAGAATCTCAGACCTGTGTTTCTGTCTCATTTCCTATAAGCATAACAACTCGGATTGCTGTAGGCTATCTAATGCAAAACAAAAGCAGTGTTGTGACAAATAATGCCCTTATTTTCTTCTCTGGATTGTTTGTTCATATTTAAGTTATAAAATCTATGTGCTAACAGCTAGTCCCTCTGCAACATAAAACGAATTTGCCAAATCAAATTAGACTTACAGTGATCACTCTGATGTAACAGTACAAAGTGCTTTCTTACTGGATAAACTCATTCTGCACTGAGGAAAGGACTGATTCTCGACAGTGGGTTTTGGAGATATCACTGAAGATGTAACAGGTTTGAGAACCTATGTTGATGGCTGAGGCACTAAGCTAGGATGTAAAGCACTTGTGTTTCGTCCCAGGGTCTGCTACAGTCTTCCTGTTTGTAAGCCAAGACATTTACCTGAGTTACTAGTACCTGCCTAACTCAAGAGGTCCTGTAAGGACAAATATACCAACAACGGAAATGTTCAGGTTCTTCAGTGACAGGGCACATACAACAATCTATGACAGGACAACTTGAAATTAGTCATGATACAATACATACAGCCACAAAACAGCTGAAGGAAAGACAGAAAGATCTTTCCATGACCTAATATAATAACACATGAGGCATTCTGCTATCTTGTCTTCCTCTGAAGTATCTAGTTAGCCAGCCTCACAAATAGGACATAGAACCAGTTGGGCTACCACTTGCTTTCTTTATGGCACTTTTTATTTAAATGTGTGCATCTGTTGAGGAGAATAAGAAAAGACAAGAAATATGATGTTGTTTATGTTTTTAACTGCAACAATATATTATCAGTGTGTAAATTTTGTATATAGAAAACTGCGATGGGAATAAAATTGCTAACTTGCACATTACTGCAGCAGACATTTACATTTTAAAAGCAGATGAAGATCTAAGCGCACAAAAACACATTAAAGAAATCATTAAAAGTTGTAGAGGCGTCAGAAAAAAAGCCATTAAATAATGCAGCATTTTATGGGCTACTGGCTTCTTTTACTACATGTGTGTTTTGACTGTCTGCATCTGAAAAGTGCATTAATGGTCCATTAGGAAAAGGCACTGAAACCTGGGGGCTACCAAACAGACTGTGTCCAATGCCTGTGTCTGAAACATCCAGAAATGGCCCAAGTCTGACTGCTTTCATGACTGAAACATACACTTCCCAAATTTTAAAAGCATCATAATGCTCCAGGCAGTCTACCTCCTGGAAAGGTTTGTATTTCTCAGGTGACTAAAATCACTCTGCCATCTGTTTCAGACCATCACAAAGGTGTGCTATAATACAATCATCTAGAAAAGCACCGCCTATAGTACCTCACTGATGAGGTAACAGAGGCTCTGTGCCAGAGTCGGCCTTTCAGTTGAAACGGAAAGCGTAAGCAGCCTGGGGCCTGAAAGCTACGTAGAAAGGGAGGTGAAATTACAGCAGCTCTAATACAGTTTTTTATAAAAAAAACTAACATAACTTTGTTTTTTTAATTTACAAGGTCAACTTAGAAATAGCTATAAGTTGGACTCACCTACTGCTGCTATGTTGCTTTGAATGCTCAGCACGTATTAGAGAACTAAACTTCTGAAGGACAAACTGAACCCAAAATCAATTAGAGCCTCTCTCCTAGAGTCCCATGAAGTTGCAAGAAAGACAAGGAAGTTCTCACATGCACTAATACAGAGCTGTTGACACAGTTAAAGATATCACCGCAGTCAAATGAGAAGAAAACACTAACTAGAAACAAGGTTAAGCACTGAAGGGGCATGGGGTAGCCACCCCCAGACGGCGCAATTCTAAAACGCAGCTAATCCCACACACACTTACTCTTTGCAGATTCCTTTGGAAATGCTGCTGTGAGTTAGATGAACATGATCTGACTCAGGGGAATGCATGTTAACACTGGCACCACCCTTTCAAGCAATTAAGAACAATACAGAGGTGCCACTGCTGCATATGTGAATGGGATAGCTATTATTCCTACTTAGACTCACCCCCAGTCCCGGGAGTTCCACATGGACTAAACAACCTGCAAAAAGGAAAGAGGAAGTATATACAATTCAAAGTCCAGCAGTTGGAACACCCAGCTATGCTCTTCTCTCTACCTAGAGCAGCAAGACAAACCCAGACCAACAAGCAAAGCTGCTGTTTTATAACAAGAGAGTCCTGACTATCAGTATACCGGTACAACTCCAAATGCACACACACCTGTGTCCTCTGCACACCAGTGCCAGAACAAACAAGTAGCAGAATAAATCATTCTCATATGGAGTTCACAGCTTGTGGATGAAAAAATTCAACGCTTTAAAAGTCAAGCTTCTATTATCCACCGCTATAACCTTCTGTTGTTAGCTTTCTTAGGCTTCTAGTTATTTAGCATCATGCAAATACGCAGCAATACAGCATCCCTGCTGCAAAAGCACAAGACAGCTACCTTGCTTACTTTCACTGTTATGTGAAAGTGCAGAATATGAACGTTTTCAAGAAAAAAGTAGGAAGATGGGAAGGCCAAGTAGCAAAGACTCGCTGCAGTAGTGCTTAACACAGAGAAAGTAATGCTAAATCTGTAAAGTAGGGATGGACACAGATGCAGTATGTGAATTTAAACAAAAAAGAGGAGACTAATTAGAGGAGTAGGAGGTAGAGGACATGAACTCTAATTCTTAGTCCTACTCTTGACCAGTTGCATGAGTTTATGCCAGTTCACTCTGCTGTTCTTCCACTCTCCTTCCCGCTCTGACTGCACAGGTTGGAAGCTCACGTAGGCTTCAGACTTTGACTGGACTCTCTATATGCAATACATCTACATTAGCCCACTGTACTGAGCACAAATACAGTGGCAGGCTTAGGCAGACCAGAGGGAACAAGGGATGACACAGGAGAAAATGGAATTAGAAATATAAACAGGAGTGATGTTCTACGATGAATACAAAATGAAAGGAAGTTAATGAAGAATTGGAAGCTACGATTTAACAAACAAGACTATTCCAGCATCACTGGTATCACTGGCAAATCTTCACTGACAACAACATTTCATTGCAGTTGCTTATTTACTTAGCATACCACATTACCTTACACGCCTGGTACTGAACTCAGATGAGTGTGAAGGACACCAAGGAAAACCAAATGAAAACTTATTAAACAATATAAAAATGAAAGCTCACAGTAAAGCATCACCAAAATATTTAGAAACAAACATTAAGTTTACCTGAGCTCCTAAACTGAGAGAAATTATTTCATCTTCAAAAGCAGAATGTGTATCGATATGAGGAGGAATTCCTGTATAAGAAATGCCAAAAAAGTCACTATAATAACAGAGTAATATCTTTCTGTAAGCTCTTTCTGCATAGATCTCCACATAGAAAAGTGAAATGTATTTTTCAAAAAATGAAACTTATCATAAAGGAGAGAGTTGCCTTCCAAAAGAATCCAGGACCAGATTAGTCTATCATGCCCACATCAGACGCACAGTTAACCCAAGGGTCCTGTACAATCACTGGAGAAAAAATAAGCTTATTTAGAAACCAGTCTGGTTTCTAAACATTTTATTGTATTCTTCTGGTTTCTAAATATTTTTCTTTGGCACTCAAAGGCCTCATTCACCCTCTGAAGATACTTAATGCTCTCCTTGATACAGTGAGCTCCTGAGACAGTTATATTCTCTTCTTAAGCACCTTGGAACCAACAGTTGCACAAGGTGATTTTGGGCTTTAGTTCATCCACGACCATGTATTTTCCTCTCAATCTCTTCTCAGAGCAAGAGTCATGCCAAATATTCCTTGTAATGACATGCAATGACTCTGCTAAGGCTCCCACCTTCAGAATTAGGACCCTTTCACTACTAACAAACACAGGCACTACAGGGGGTCAAACCCCGCCTCTGCTTTGTAGCTACCAGCAGAAATCCACGCAGCAAGAACAGGCTAACTCCTGGACAGTACATCTGTTGGTGTATAAGTAATCACGTACATTCGAGAGTTTCCAAAGGGACAGAATTTTTTTTTTTTTTTTAAAAAGAATCAGCTAATCAGAAAGGAACTGCCATTCCCTGAAGCCTGCACCACACATTTTAATACCAAGTGCCAAAGTAGCAGCCTGCAAGCCACCACAAGATCACAGTGCATGGTGGGAAGCTGTCACCAGCCATGGAGCAAGGCCTACAGGCAGCTCAGAAGAACTGCAACTACACCTTCCCTTGACACCGTGATGGGCTCAGACAGATAAATAACTCCTATTTGAACCAAACCAAAACATTTATGTCTGCTTATTAAAAATTCTGCCCATATTCATCTTGGAAACTATCAAATTTTCTGAGTTAAAAACCATTTTTCCTAACAGCGTCAAGGAGCTGTAAAAAGTCTCCTTATTATACACCAGATTTCACCTCCAGATGTAAATATACTGAGTTACATTTGTTTCAGTGAAATCAACACAAACGCTTTATGAGGCCAATATTTAGTCTGACAGAAAACTGGCCAGACCTGAAAACTGACCCAAGGTCAGGTATCTATGTTTGGTTATAACTCTGCATCAACATAAAGCTCAAACTCTGCCTTCACATGCACATTGAAGTCAGTGCAATTCACACTGTAACAAGAGAATATCCACTGCTCTCTTCAACTTCAATCCATTGAACTGAAATCACACTGAACTACATGCTGTTCATACTCCATGTATGCAGCACATACTCGCCCAAGCATTCAAAAGTGGATGGTAAATTTCACTATAAATCCACCACTTTTAACACTCTTAAGAACCCAACTGAAAAAAGTGCCCTCAAGAAGAAATTAACTTAATGCAACTTACGCACGGCCCCTACAGCTAAGATACCTGAAGTCATCAGTCACTTTTTAAAACTTTAAATTTAATGTCCAGTGACAGAATCTGGCTCTTAACACAGACACTAAGGGTATTAATCTGACTGCACCCTATGCTCTCTCATGCCCTAGCAAATTGTGCTTAAGAAAGGGTATTTTGCTTTGCGTTTTTTTTTTTTTTTTTTTAAAAAGTAGTCCTTCTACTCCTGGTAGAAATCTACAGTTCTAACTAATCTCCTGAGATGTTCCAGCCAGCAGTATGTGACCGCATCAGTTTAACTGACTGTCAGGTACATAAAAAAAATGGGATCAGTTTTTCAGACCTCTCTTTAGCAGACTCCAAATTAACTGTTCGGCATTAATTCCAAAAGAAAAGTTGTTGTCCTTTCTTCCTAAGGACAAACTAGATATCCACTACAGAAAAGAAGCCAGACACTTAGCCTTGACAACTGACCTTAGCAAAAAGCAAAGTGTATGATTTATTCCCTAGAGGTGCGGTTAGCAGCCAATTTCTCTTCAGATGTCTTTGGTTTGGGAAAGACTTCTGGAATAAAGTAATTTCTTATCCCTCAGATAAGGGATGGCTGCTTGCATCACACTAAAGAACCCATATATCACAAATACTAACATTATATCATGCATACTAACAACAAGAGCTGTTTCTTGGACACTGTATGTACAGCACAGGGAGCAGGAGAGTTTGGAAAAGTAACTGAAAAATGCACTTAAGTGCAAAGCCAAACATGAATATTTATTTCTGCATCTTTTTATGTTTAGGTTGTTTGCTATGCCTCAGGACTCTGGAGCTCCATCCCATAACACAACTCCATTTCCATTACAATGGTATCAAAACTGTACTTTTAAATACAAGTTCTCAAATCCATAAGACAGTATGAAGACATTAGTTTCAATTCACCAAAGCTTCTCGAAGATAATATATTAAGTAAGCACTTAAAACCTTGTCATTTTGCCAGGATCCATTTCAATGCTATTCTCTTCTGAAGTTCAGTTAGGGTGAGGAGCTCAGACTTTTTAAAGGACAAATACACTTACCTTGTCCGGGTTCATACTGATTCACAGTCAGTTGATCAGGTTTATGTCTGATATATCCCTGCTTCAAGCAATTCTCCAAGAACAGGTTGCAAATTTCAGGGAGACCTAGTTTTAGAAACAAAACTGTAAGCAAGACAGCTTCTTACACTTTTTATTTAAAATAAATATAACAATTGGACAAATGAACAGCTTCATAAGTATGTGAGGCCACCTTTAATAAAGACCACTCTGCATTTGCTATAACACATATATCAAAATTGTGCGCTTGATCTGCAAGTCGGATATATTTACAACATCTTGCAATTAGAAAGGCCATTCCTCCAAGCCCTCTACATTCACAAGCAGACTAGACCCACTTTTTGCAAATGCAAACTGCATTATCTCTACACATAAATAAAAGCTTATTAAATCAGAGGCAAAGTTTCCATCAACTACAGTAATATGGGAGTTGCAGTCAAGAAGAAAAATTACTATGCAGAAAGTCAGAAATTGTGTTGAGATCTCTCTAAGAATTTTATCCCTTAAAAATCTGTTACTGAATTACATGCTGGATTAAATATTTCCAAAAAAATCAGCTGAAGTTAAATCTAATGTTTTTAGCTCTGGAATGAAAGTTACACTGAATCTTTAGTTTGCTATTATACCTGATGATAACTTAACTGTAAAATTCTGTTCAATGTATCATCCACAAACATGTTAATAATAATCCCTTCATGAATCTATTGATTTTTACTTGTTGTTTTCTGCCAGTGAAGTCTTTGCCCTAGTTGTGTTCCCCTCACACACAAAATATTCCAGCTGTGAAATCAGAAAATAGCTCAAATATCAATGCTCTTATGTTTATATACAGTTCATTGTTAGAACTCCAATGCAAGCACAACGTATCTGTTGTAAGCTATATCCACCACTGTACACACGTAGCACCTTAAAAACTTTAAATATAAGTTTTATTGGAATTTAATCCCCCCCTTTACCATTTTTATATCTAAGGCTATAAGATGACTCACTTGCATTTCTCTGACTCAGAGCTCTCAACTCCAAATGAGTTATTCAAACCTTTTCAAGACCGCTTTCAGTCTAAAGGAAATTTTTTTTTTTTGGTGTGCATCCAAAAGCTTCAAGCTAGTCAAGATAAATATACACAGCCATATATGTCACCCCCCCACACACAAATTAATATGTAATTTGTAATATGTAATTGCATTATGAAACAAAAACTAAAAAAGAATGACAATTACAATCCCAAAAGTCATATTTGACTAGACCTCAAAAAAGGATAGCAACCCCCAGCTGCAAGTGATTAAAAACAAGCTTCAAGCACACACATTAATTACAAATGGATCCCATTCTAGAGCACTGTTTAGTGTAGTGATCCAATGAAAACTCTCCTTTCGCTAGGCTTTTGCCTCTCCTTTAATTAGAATCTTACACCCATACCTTAATGAGGCTAAGAAGTTTGATATAATAGTTTGAATATTGGTTTAAAATAAATATTGTTTAATGGGAAAGTTCTCACCTCCAGGTAAAGGTTTTTCTTTTTCAACATTGTTGCTATCATAGCAAAATTCATATCCAAAATGTTTTACTCTTCTATGTTTTAAAGTCTTCTGGGCTGTGAAAGCACACAAGTTTAAAGCAAGATTAGACTACATCAAATAGTTCAGGCAATTTGCTGCTTCCCTATTCCATCTGACCTCTGTTAAATCTAAACACTCTTTAATCAATTGCTAAAACAACATGTGATCCTTGATGGCATACACTTTTTTTGCAAGTACAAAAAGTAACAAAAGAATCAAGCTATCACATGCACTACAGCTTGAAGTCAAACTGCCACTGTTTTTGTACATGCAGGAAGTATAGAAGTACTAATTTTACTGACCCATGTGTAATGCATCTTTATTCTTGCCCTAACCTCTGGACTAGCATTTGATTGATATTTTGAGTATACAACAAGATCCTTCACTTTCACTGTTACGTCTTAACTAAGGTCAACATCACCTTTTGCGTTGTTCCAAGGAATAAAATTTATACAGGAACCGTGAAGTTAATTCCAAGAACAACTCATTTTATTACTTGATTTAACTCCACAGGGCTCAAGTGAAAGCACGAAAGCATCTATAAAGAGTATTTAACCAACTTCTTTTTGGTTTAACAGAAAACAGCTCCTAAGTATGACAAAAGATTACAACCTTATAACCTTCACAGAATAAAGCCTTGGGGCTGGTGTGAACTGTCTAAAACAGACTGGAGTTGTCTGTAGATGTAAGAATCTTATTCACAGAACAGCTGAGGTTGGAAGGGACCTCTGGAGATCATCTAGTCCAACCTCCCTGCTCAAGCAGGGTCCTCTAGACCACGTTTCCCAGGATGGCACTCAGACGGGTTTTGAATATCTCCAGGGAAGAAGACTCCACTCCCTCTCTGGGCAACCTGTGCCACTGCTCTGTCACCCTCACAGTCAAGAAGTTTCTCCTCCTGTTCAGGTGGAACTGCCTGTGGTTCAGTTTCTGCCCGTTGCCTCTTGTCCTGTTGCGGGGCACCACGGACAAGACTCTGGCCCCATCCTCTTGACACCCTCCCCTTCAGATACTTGTACACATCGATCAGATCCCCCCTCAGTCTTCTCTTCTCCAGGCTGAACAGGCCCAGCTCTCTCAGCCTTTCTTCAGAGGAGAGAGGCTCCAGTCCCCTCATCATCTTGGTAGTCCTCCGCTGGACTCTCTCCAGGAGTGCCATGTCTCTCTTGTACTGGGGAGCCCAGCACTGGACACAGTCCTCCAGGGGAGGCCTCCCCAGGGCTGAGGAGAGGGGCAGGATCACCTCCTTCCACCTGCTGGCAACACTCTGCCTAATGCAGCCCAGGATCCCATCGGCCTTCTTGGCCACAAGGGCACACTGCTGGCTCATGTTTAACTTGTCCACCAGGACACTCAGGTCCTTCTCGGCAGAGTACTTTCCAACAGGTCAACCCCCGGCCTGTACTGGTGCATGGGATTATTCCTGCCTAGGTGCAGGACCCTACACTTGCCTTTGTTGACCTTCAGGAGGTTCCTCTCCACCCAGCTCTCCAGCCTGTCCGGGTCCCTCTGAAGGGCAGCACAGCCTTCTGGTGTGTCAGCCACTCCCCCCAGTTTAGTATCCCCAGCACACTTGCTGGGAGTGCACTCTGTCCCTTCCTCCAGATCATTGATGAATATATTGAACAAGATTGGACCCAGGACTGACCCCTGGGGGACACCACTAGCCACAGGCCTCCAACTTGACTCTGCGCCATTCACCACAACCCTCTGAGCT